CAACAGCCAACAACAACTGACCATTAACACACATGATGATATAACCCAGTAACCAACCCAGTTATGGAAGTATCCAAAGTAAATAAGCCTACAAGATTGTAAAACAGGAAACCAGAGACATCAATTGACAAATGAGGACAACAACAAACCAAAAAGAGGGAAAAAAAAAACCTGCGTTGTTACAGAACTTCTAGATTGTAAGGAAGTCAAGACAACTACAAGATAGAATGGACTATTCTAAACTTGGGAAGAAAACTATAAATCACAAGGTAACCTCAAAGAAAAATGATAAACCTTCACATCAAAATAAAAGAGGACCAGCACAAATATTTAGCAAATACTAAAACAATAGCAACAAAGGAAGTGATAGCACGATTCATAAACAAAATGAGCTCAGCATAGAAAATTATATGTAACAAAGAAATCAACACCATGAAAAAGCACATAACAAAATGACAGCAACAAATTCCTTTTTGCTGATAATTACCTATCTAGCAAGAGACTTATCTCTAAGATTTATAGAAAACTCCAACTCCTCAACACCAAAGGAATTAACAATCCAATTAAAAAAATGTGCAGAAGACATGAATAGACACTTCACCAAGGAGGATATTCAGGTGGTCAGCTAATACATGAAGATATGCTCACAATCATTGGCCATCAGAGAGATGCAAATCAAAGCAACAATGACACTATGTCACCCGAGTACTGATGGCAAGGTTCAACGAGACAGAAAATAACAAATGCTGGTGGGATGTGGAGAGATTGGGACTCTCGTACACTGCTGGTGGGACTCTGAAGTGATACAACCACTATGGAAAGCAATCTGACAATTCTTTAGAAAGCTGGAACTGGAAATACCATTTGACCCAGCAATCCCATTACTAGGTATATATCCTAGAGAGGTGAGAACCAGGACAGGAACAGATAAATGCACACTTATGTTCAACACAGCACTATTTACAATAGCCAAAAGATGGAAACAACCTACGTGTCCACCAGCGGAAGAGTGGATGACCAAACTATAGTACATACACATAATGGAATGCTATGCAGCACTAAGAGGAGCTCTGGTAACATAGTGCCTAAGGCACTTGACTGCTAACCAGAAGGCTGGCAGCCACTCCTCAGAAGGAAGGTTGGGCAATCTACTTCTGTAGTGATACTGCCTTGGAAACCCAAGGAGGGGTCACTATGAGTTGGGTTCGACTCAATAGCACATAACAACAACAACAACAACATGCAGCACTAAAGAATAATGTAGAGTATGCAAAACACCACATAATATGGATGAACTTGGAGAACACTATGCTGAGTGAAATAAGTCAATCACAGAAAGACAAATATAGTATTAGTTTGTTGTTGTGGAGGGTCAAGGAAAGGTTTATATATGGAGGGAAACTTTCTTTGTTGGTTGCCAGGGTGGGAGGAGAGGGGAGGGAACACTGGGGGAAAAAAAATGCATTGGCCCATGTCATTTTAGTTTTGTATATTTCACTGTACTTAAATAATATTTCCATAAAATGCATTAAAAAATATTTTTAATTCCCTTATTCTCCTTGACCAAGGAAAATATGAGTTTGAGTTTCTCACTAAATAACTACAATAAAACATAAAAAATCTTCCAGAATAAACTTTATAACACTTGACCAGACCAGAAATTACATCACATAATCCAAAGCATCAACTAAAAAGCCATTAAAATATGTAGGTATCTTTGTAAGCCACATTTTCCCTCCTAAATTCCTGCTTGAGCTCCTAAATTCCAAAAGCTATCTGGTGGTTTAAACTATTTGAATTTAAGTAATTTTCCAAAAACAAATCTAAAAAGTATAAAATCATAACCAAATTTTATCTCAGTTTAGGGATTTTTCTTATCTTCGTGAGATAATGCATGGCTAAACCTGAAACGTGTGGCAATATTAACTGTTGGTAAGAGTAGAGAACAAGTGGAACGCTCCTGCACACTGCAAGTGGGAGTGTGACTCTGCACAATGACTTCCGCAAACTCTAAGATAGTATCTGAAGCTAAACATAAGCGTACGTATCTCCAGCAATTTCACCCCCAGATACAGACCCAACAGAAATTTATACACATTTGCAACAGTATTATAACAACAGATAAAACTGGAACACCCATTAACCATCAACAGCAGAATGGATATATAATTTGGGGTATAATCATGCAGTGGAACACTATAAAGTAATGGAAAAAAATCCTACCACATTGGCATGAATGACTCTCACAGCAGAACACTGAGTGAAAGAATCCAGACATAAAATAGTACATATTGGATGATACTATTTATATAAAGTTCAAAAGCACACAAAATGTTTCTATGGTGTCAAAAGAGTGGTCAACTTTGAAAAGGAGGAGGTTAGTGACAAAAGATAAGGTATTAGGGTCATGATAAAGTTCTATTTCTGGTTATGGGTGGAGGGTATATCAATGTACACAATGTGAGAAAATTCACTGAATGGTCCAATTATAATTTACAGTTTACTTTAAAAAATTCAAGATATGTGTATGAAAGGTATACCCAAAGGTCAGTATTGATATGCATGTCAGTCATTTAAGATGTTTTCTGTAGATGACGTACATACAGGCAGTCCCCAAATTATTAACGAGTTCCGTTCCTATGTCGGTCTTTTAAGTCGCTTTTGTATGTAAATCAGACAGTTAGGTAGAATTCATTTCTAATGTGCATTAGTCAAATATACAGTATATAGTGTAACTTTCTATGCATAAAAAGCAATACAGAAACACTTCCAGATATACTAAAATATCTTTAACATAATAAGAGTAATAATGTAACAGTGATGATGTTTTGACGCATGTCACAAAGTAGGACCCCATTTGTTACTATGAACCATTGCATGTACTTTATGCGAGTTGGTTCATAACTATGGGTTGTACATAAGTTAAACATTTGTAACCTGGGAATTATCTACAAAACTGGTCAAACTATTTTTAAAATTTTATCTTGGTACCCAAAGGACAAAAGAATGCATGTAAAACTTGTTCACAAAGCTTATGTTAAACAGGTTGAGTTCCTTTCCTAAATAAAAGAAGTCATAACAGAAGATTAATTAAATTTAATTGCTCTTTATAAAAAAATCAGTTTAGCACGGCTACCACTGCTGACCATTCTGAAAAGGATCACAATAGGAGATCTCAGATAGATAAGGAGAAAAATGTGGAATGAAACACAAAATCATAAAAAAAAGACCAGGATTACTGATCTGACAAAGGCTGGTGATACCCCAAGACTAGGGCCCTCAGAAACCCTTCAAGCCAGGAACTGAACTCATTCACCCCTATGGCTCGCTCAACTTTCAGCCACGGGGATGAACAATAATACCAGGAAGGAATGCACTCCCTAGAACAATCAACCATACAAGATCAAAGGGCAGTATTTGTCCAAGGATAAAGCTAAGAAGGCAAGAAGGGATAGGAAAGGACAAAGGGAAACTGTAAACACTGGAGGAAGTGGAAAGAGTGCTGTTACATTTTGGGGACTGCAATCAATGTCACAATACAAAACGTGTATTATTGTTGAATGGAAAACCAATTTGCTCTGTATATTCTCACCCAAATCACAACCAAAAATTAAAAAAAATAAAACAATGCCATAGAGTAGAGTTATAGTAGGAGCTCTGGTAGTGTAGTGCCTAAGGCATTTGACTGCTAACCTGAAGGCTGGAGGTTCAAACTCACCAGCCACACCTCGGAAGGAAGGTTGGGCAATCTACTTCCGTAGTGATACTGCCTCGGAAACCGAAGGAGGTGTCGCTATGAGTCAGGTTCGACTCAACAGCAGTGAATTTGATTTGTTTCCTTTTTTTTCATAGGACAGAGGAGAACTGCTCCATAGTGTTTCCAAGGCTGTAAATCTTTACAGAACCACACTGCCTCATCTTTCTCCCATGGACTAGCTGATGGATTCAAACTGCCAATCTTTCAGGCAGCAGTCAAGTGTTTAACCACTGCAGCACCAAGGGTGAAAAAAATTCTATTTAAAAGTACATGCTTTAAATTTTTTGTAAACAGAAAAATATTCTGAAAATCACTTTAATTTAATTAACAAATAAAATGCTGAATTTAAGAAATCAACCAATGATCTGAAGTCTCCTAGGACAAATCAAATCCTACTGTATAAAAAAAGCACTGTATACAACATCTAAACGAAACCATGCCAGCAGAATCTTTCAATATTTCTTACTGGTACTCTAATGACCATCACTCCAAAACCAAAATCTCAAACTTTATCTCCTTGTGTCAGATTCCAACTTACAGCAACCCTACAGGATAAGGTAGAACTGCCCCATAGGGTTTCTAAGGCTATAATCTTTATGCAAGCAGACTGCCACATCTTCCTCCCACAGAACAGTTGGTGGGTTCAAACCCCTGACCTTTCCCTTAGCATCTGAGTGTGTTAGCCACTGTGCCACGACACTTTGATTTGTTGTCTGTACCTCTATCACTTCAAACATAACTTCACAGTTAACCTCTGACCATTCAAAGCAAACCAAATCCTACTGTATAAAAAAAGCACTGAATACAACATCTAAACCTGAAATATTTTCAAAACTATACAGAACAGCACTGGATACTAGATCAAACCTAAATTACTTACGAAACTTACAACTGCTGCCATTAAAAGAAACTGCATAAGAACAGACCCAGGAAATTTCAGTTTTAACACTTTATATCTCAGTGTCACAAAGTAACATAAAACATGCACAACGAGTAAACAATGAGAGGCAAGAAAAGGAGTGATCACAGAAATTTTTTAAACAACCTTTAAATCTTCTCCAGTTTCAAACTGTAAAAAATGTAAAATAATCTCAGCAGATAAACTAATTTAAGACAGTGATAACCGCTACAGCAATCAGAATATACTACTTTTAAAAGTCATCTCTTCTACATTTTCCTCTACTTGATATTATAAATTTGTGAACTTAAAAAAAAAAGGGAAAAGAGAAAAAAAAAAACTTACTGGAATTGAAAATTCCTCAGCCAAATACTTCAATAAAGCTGCTTCTCTTGCCAGGAACTTGTTTCTTTCTTTCAGATTGCCTTGAAGTTGTGTATCAAACTCCTTTCTGACCACAGACGCAACAGAGTCAATAATCACAAGTTTAACTCCCTTTGAAATGATTTCTTCTTCCAAAGACTCAATCCTATAAAACAGAATTTGTAAAATAGTAGATAAAGTTAAGATATAATAACAAAAACCCTATGGATAATAAAAGACCAATCTGCAACCCAACACAGCACTAACACAGGACTGTCAGCATTTCTTTCCATTGTGCATGGGGCTGCCATGAATCAGGGACAGCTAACAACAACAGCTAAAATATTATATAAAGACAGAGAGTGTTGCAAAGACAAATCAAACAAAAATAAGACAACAGCAACAAACTATTGCTCCCTGAATTTCAATAATGATTGCAAGAATTCAATAAACATAATGTATTTTCAGCTCTTCTATACATACTGTATTCTTCTGGAAACTGAATAAAATGAGTTCAGGTAGTTTCATTCCTTGGCTCTCTTATAATACTGTGAAAGCTCCAATTTTGGAGTAAAGCAGTATGTCACAACCAATCTATACATAGAAGCAAATAACAATACCATGGTTAAGTAAATATTGGTATGATATGTTAAAGAAATAACCTAAGTTTTACCTCTGGTTGAGCTGAATGGTCTTATACTTAAGAAAACTATCCATAGGTTTGAAAACTCACAGCTTTGATGTCATACTTTGTGATGCTATGCCCCACGACAACGAGGCAGATCTCTCTTTGTCCATGGTATCACCTTGGGCTTTTTGGCATTCAGCCATCCATTTGCATATGAGTAACTAGATGCAGAGTAATTTTCGGATTCCTCCTTGAGGAGAATACTAATACAGTAGACAGGAAGAAGAGACTACATCCACGGAACGCAATCATACGTACATACTGATTCCTTCCTTTCTCTCAGTTCTGAAATTAAATTCCTATTTGTTTCTACCTCCAAAATATTTCTCTAACCCAGTGCTTTTCTCCAACTCCACTGTCAATATCCTAATCTACATTTTACCTAAGAATTCTCTTACCTAAGAATTCTTCCTTATCCATCTAAAATCCAATGCCCACAAAAAGCCACACAGATCTTCTTCAAATGAGCAGAAGATAGTATCAAGGCTTTCAGCAGAGTCCTTCAGCTCTTCTAATTGCACTTGGAATACACCCTCTTCCAAATCTACAAGGCCTAAGTGATCTGGCTCTTCTTCCAACCTCAGTCTTATCAGTTTCCCTCTTCTTACTACGCTCTGACCACACTGGTCTCTATTCCAGGTCTTAAACTGTTGCCCTCTCAGTCTAAAAGACTCTTCACGTAACTCTTAGCATGGCTATCTCATTCTCTGCCCACACCTCACCTTCCCAGAGAGGCTTTCCTTAACTTGCTTGTGTAAAACCTCATGTGGATACTCTACATTTCATCATTGCATTTTCACTCCTTCATATCATTTATCACAAGCTGTAAGGATCTTATTGATTACTTTCTTTCTGGCTTATTATCTATGTTCTCCCACTAAAATGTAAGCTCCATGAGGGCATGTATCTAACCTATCTTGTTCACCACTGTATTTTCCATATTTTACACAGTGACTAGCATGTAGTAAGACCTCAATAATCTTTTCTAGTTTAATGCATAAATGTATCAATGATGGTAGGGTCAAAGAACTCCAGAGAGATTTCATGGAGAGGCAGGATCTGAATTAGGAAGGAAAGTATTGCTTGATAGGATTTATACAGCAAAACCAATAGTTGCCATTGTTATTAGGTGCTGTTGAGTCATCTCCGACTCATAGCGACCCTATGCACAGCAGAACAAAACACTGCCCAGTCCTGTGTCAGCTTCACGAATCCTGCTATACTTGAGCCCGTCGCCACTGCCACTGTATCAATCCATCTCGTTGAAGGTCTTCCCCTCTTTCATCGACCCTTCACCTTACCAAGATGACATCCTTCTCCAGGGAATAGTCTCTTCTGACAACATGACCAAAGTAATGTAAGATGAAGTCTGGCATTCTCGCTTCCAAGGAGCATTCTGGCTGCACTTCCTCCAGGATAGATTTGTTAATTCTTTTAGCAGTCCATGATACTTTCAGCATTCTTCGCCAACACCACAACTCAAAAACATTGACTCTTCTTCAGTCTTCCTTCTTCACTGTCCAGCTCTCACATGCATATGAGTCGACTGAAAATACCATGGCTTCTGTCAGGCACACCTGAGTCCTTAAGGAGATATCTTTGCTCTTCAGCACTTGAAAGAGGTCCTTTGCAGCCAATTTGCCCAGTGCTATACACTGTCTGATCAGAAGGAAGATGGAGCAATCTACTTCCGTAGTGATACTGCCTCAGAAACCCAAGGAGGCATCACTATGGACTCGGGTCTGACTCGCCGGCACATAACAACAACATACGCTGTCTGATGTCCTGACTGCTGCTTCCATTGGCATCGACTGTAGAACCAAGCAATGTGAAGTCTTTGACAACTTCAATCTTTTCTCCATTTATCGTGACACTACTTATTGGTCCAGTTGTGAGGATTTTCGTTTTCTTTATATTGACATGTAAGCCATATAGCAGACTGTATTCTTCAACCTTCACCAGTAAGTGCTTCAAGTCATCCTCACTTTCAGGAAGCAAAGTTGTGTTGTCAGCATATCTCGGGTTGTTAACGAATCTTCCTCTAACCCTGATGTTACATTCTTCTTCATGTGGTTCAGCTTGTCAGATTATTTGCTCAACATATAGATTGAATAAGTACAGTGAAAGGACAACACCCTGATGCACTCCCTTCTTGATTCCAAACCATGCAGTGTCCCCTTGTTCTGTTCGAACAACAGCCTCCTGGCCTATGTACAGGTTCTTCATGAGTACAATCAAGTGCTCTAGAATTCCCATTCTTCTCAATGTTATCCACAATTTGTTATGATCTACATGATCAAATGCTTTTCCATAGTCAATAAAACACAAGTAAACATCTTTCTGGTATTCTTTGCTTTGAGCCAAGATCCATCTTATGCCAGCAATGATATCCCTCGTTCCATATCCTCTTCTGAATCCAGCTTTCTACTGCTGAACCATTTTTGAACTCAGTTAAGATCTTACTTGTATCCGATATTAATAATATGGTTCTACAATTTCCACATTCTGTGGGCTCACCTTTCTTTGGAATAGGCACAAATATCAGTCTCTTCCAGTCAGTTGGCCAGGTAGCTGTCTTCCAGATCTCTTGGCATAGCCAAATGAGTGCCTCCAGCGGGGTACCTGTTTGCTGAAACATCTCAGTGGGTATTCCATCAATTCCTGGAGCCTTGTTCTTCACCAATTCTTTCAGTGCAGCTTTGACTTCTTCCTTCAGTACCATTGGTTCTTGATCATATGCC